AGCACCTAGCGCAGAGTGGGTGCTGAGCAAGTGCTGCGGTGACACCCTCCAGGGTGCGCCAGGGTGGACCACGGAGGAGGTTGACGAGAGGAAGGATGCGGGAGTCTGGGGACTGCCCTCCCTCCTGCGTGACGTCACTGCTCCGTGGCTGAGTGTCCTCATCTGGAAGCCACCACAGTCCGTCTTCCCAGGACTGTTCTGACGGCTAAGGAAGGCACGAGGGCAGAGCAGACGCCGTCATAAGTCCTCTGCCGTCGTTATTTTCACTGTGACAAATGTGATCGCTTGTCAGGGGGGCGCCCAGGCTGCAGCCGGGTCTGGAAACCTGGAGACCGCAGAAGAGGAAGTCCTTTGTGGATGACCATGACCATGAGGATGACCGTGGCCTCTCCTTGTTCACAGACGCGCTTTTCCCCTGGGCCCCTTCTTAGAAGCCAACCCCAAAGGACGGCTCATTCCAGGTGTCACTTGGCGAAACCAGGGTGACCCGCTGTCAGGTCCAGGTCTAGCCTAGAGACTGCTGTCACCATGTTTCCAAAACGTTGTTGACATTTACGACCAGGGGACGGTAACTCAGGCAGGTCAGCCCTTATAAAGTGGGTGGCCCCTTGCAGCTGGTTGGGTGCCTGGAGGAGAAGGACTAAGGTTTCCCAAAGACGACGTTCCTGCTCCCGATGGCAGCGTAGAAGCTGAGCTTCTGGCCTTCAGACTGGAGACCGCAGCCTTGACTGTCACCTCTGTCTCCAGGCTGTGAGCGCAGCCTGTGGATCGAGACTTGCTGGGCCCTACTGCCGCAGTCTGTCTGGGCACAATTCAGGAGCCACTTGTCAAAAGAAACTAACTTTATTTTTAGAACTACAAACGCCAAACAAAACAGCTCCTCAGGAAAAACCCTCAGAGCCCAACTGCCACCACCGGCTTCCACAAGCCTCTCTCCCAACCACAAGCCTCTCCACCTCCCACAATCCTCCTGCTCTTGAGGCCGATTGGCTGGGTTGTGTGGGCGGAGCAAAAAAATCCCCCAATGAGCAGCTCCGTGGTCTGAAAGGGCAGGAAAACAGCCCAATGAGCATCACCGCAGAAGAGCCAATCAGCTAGATGTTGCTGGGGCCGCTGTGAGCCAATCATCAGCCGGCAGTCTGAAAGTTTGCTGGCAGCTGGAAGTTTGCTGGGGCCCCTTCAGCTGTGGCTCTCAACACCCCACAACCAAGGGAAGTGGGATTCAGCTTCTTATAATAAATATTTTCTTAAAATTGACAGATGGATAGATAAATAGGTAGACAGATACTGGAGCATCGGTTCTGGTTTTCTAGAGAATTGTGACAATATTACACCTGGTGTCAGCCCAGAAGCCCCACTTTGGAAATGTTCAGGAACCTGCAGGAAACCCTTGATTCTCAAAATACACTGCTTAAAATTGAGCTCCCAATAATTGCTGCTTTGTTTGGAGAAAATACTGGGTAAGATATCCCCCTTGCCATCACTAGGGACAACTATAATTCACCAATAAAAAATGTGAAAAACCAAAAAACAAAACAAAACAAAAAACAGGGGAAAGACATTTAGAGATCTGCGCCCTTTGCCTGTTTCCTCCTTGTCATTCTGCAGGGTACAACTGGGAACATTCTGGTGTTCCTTGAGCCACCTGTCCTATAAGCCACATTATCTGCCACCAGGTCAGATGTGCATTTCTCAAGTGAAGGTGGATGCAGCCCTCGAGGCAGCAAGTGGGGTCCCCCTGCACCCTGCATGGCCACCCCCAGACACGGGGACACACAGCCCTCACACAAGCAGCTTACGGCCTCCGACTGCTTCCTGGAACCAACGCTCAACAGTTCCAAATGCATGTGCCATCTTCTTGACCTCCCTGGCTGTTGGGGGAAATTTGAGATCTACGACTTTTAAATCTAGAGATGCAGAATGCCTCGCTGGGTGTTGGGAGACTCTGAAGTGGCACTAGGAATGACCTCTTAGCCAGCTGGCTCTGAAACCATGTACCCCAGCCCCCAGGACATACTGTGGTTTCTGTGAGCATTGCTGGCTGGTTCCAGGGACTCTGTCTTCTCAGCTCTGGAAACTGCTGAAGAAGCATGTCATGACAGCCTGGGATTCAAGTCCTGTATCTTAATTCTTCTAGCTGTCTGAATTTGAACAGACACTCTCTGCCAGAATTCTTTGTCAGGTTAAAAGGAGAAAACTGCCATTTTAAGACCTACCTGATACCCAAGTGTATCAGTCAGGACAGGCTAAGTTGTGCTGCATAACAAAGAGCCTCAGAATCTCAGTGGTTCAAAAATAAGAAATATTTAGGCACCTACTCATTCTATATGTCACATTAGGAGGGGCTCTGCTCTGTGACATCTTCATTCCCACAGGCTGTCAGAGGTACCACCTGGAACGTCCCTGGCCATCGTGACAGGGTAAAGGGGAAAAGAAGAATCGTGAACCATCTCTGAAAAGCGTCCAGCAAAACTGACCCACTCACAATGAGTCTTGGCAAGTTACAAAGCCATGCTTACTTTTCAGGAGAGAAGGAAACGCGATCCCCCCGTGTGTGTGTGGAAGGGGAAGAGACCTGGGTGAATGTCTTGCAGAGAGGGTCCCTTGTGTCCCAGAGGACTTTGGGGTCAATCGAGAGCTTTCACGTCATCACTCAGCATATTTCAGGACACTGGGATAGTCACTCTATAAGGGGGAACTATTATACTTTCCGATGTCACATCCGCTTTGGGGTTCACAGTCGTATTGTTTCAAGAAGTACAAGTGTAATCACTGAAGGCAAAGAAGAAAAGAACAGGTGCACTTTAATATGCAAAGATGCCTTGGTGACAAATGAGGACCACTAGACGGCTATCCTACAGGATGTCTCCAGAACTCAAAAGAACCTTGGTAGAGCGGTCGGCACCCAAGTCTTCTTTCAAGTGGAAATTAGATTTTGTCAACATGATGTTATTCATCTTAAATAAAGATTTTTAAGTTTGGATGGTACAGCTTTTCAAACTCAATTTATATTTAATTCATCAATGTATTTCCGTCTGGCAGCTTTCTGAGGGTGATAAGCTAGTTTTGAGTTTGCCATCTGTAGGGGACACTGGCTGAGCATTTGTCACCCAGGATGTGAACTCTTCTCCTCCTATAACTATGTTGTCCCACCTTATGAACCAGCGTCTGCGTCCTCAAGGCTGAAAATGCCAGGAATTCCCTTTCCCTGGCATCTCGAGAACCTTCCTTGATCTGGGTCCCCCAATCAGAGGCACGATCCCAAGATTTGGGTGAGACACCTGGGATAAGTGTCCTGCGATAGAACAGAGAGGAGAGAAGTCATGTGGAGCGTTTTCAGTGGTGATGGGGGGATTGGCGTCGGGGGCTCTCACCAGGTCCAAGCAGCAGCCTCTGGGGTGCAGCCGGAGTGGGGTCTGCAGGAGCAGTCCCTGCACTTGTCACTGCAGTGACCCCTCACCAGACCCTGCAGGACCCGCGTCGCCATTTTGTTGGTTCTAAAGCCTCCGCCTATGTTCTCTGGGCTGCAGGAGACTCTAGAAGGCACCCAATATCATTTCATGAAGGTATTTTCTCCTTCAGTTAGATACCTGGGTTGGCAACAGACCAATGGATACTGAAATCATGCTAAGGCAGAACTGCTCTGGGTCAAATCTTGGCATCCACCAGAAACACACTCCCACTGTCCCCGACAGGGGTTGGGCACCCGAGGGAAATCTGAGAAACTCTCCTCCGCTGTGACTCTTACTTTAAAACGGGAAAGACCGAGATGTGGCAGGAGAAGGATCCCCTGGCAGGTGAGCAGTGGTGTCCACGCCAGGACTTGAGGACCTTCCGACCAAGCGTCCTGGGCGGCACTGGCCCTCCGTGGGCCTGGGGTAGGTTGGCATCCATGGCAGCCGGTCAGGGCCCCCGGAGAGCTGTCCACCCCCGGCAGCTGCTCCCTGAGCATCTTGGCCAGGGCACTCGGCCAGCCTGGGGCCCGAGAGCCCGCAGGGGGAGGGGGAGCAGCCCCTGGCCCTGGAGCCACCAGACAATGGCTCCCTAGTCCCCGTCCCTCCTGTAAACAAGCTGTCGTGCCTGACAGAACCCGATAATAGCAGCTCCTGCCATCCTGGCCCCGCTCTGGGCTGGGAGGCCTGCAATTATTGTCTTAACCGACTCGGCAACGGCTCGCAGGGTGGGCATTGCCTGAAGCCGTGTACAATTTTTGCAAACTTTCTCCGACTCTCTGACACTCCTGCTTGCAGGTCTGGGGGGGCTCAGGTTCCCTCCCTCCAGCCCCACCCCTAAAACTGCTCCAGGGATTGCAAGTGGCCCCACACTTTGGAGATCCCAAAGGCGCCCTCTCCGGAGACCATAACTACAGGGTCTTCCCTCCCTTAATATCCGCAGCTGCTACCTTAGGCCTGGGCGGGGGTGAGCACAGACAGGTCCTTGTTAAATGCGGCTTCCTGTCGAGGTCTTTGCTGAACCTGGAAATTCACCATGTCTGTCGGTCCTTTTGGTAAAGCCTGGCTCTGATGAGGTGCTTGCCTGACAGGGTTTATGCCCCAGGATATCAAAGGGACTTCCTCAGAGAATCCATGGTTCAGATGCCTGTAAAGAACCTACGAGCAAGTGCATCTGCTCAGGCACGAACTGAGCCAGGGGTGAGGGGTCTGAGAGGCCGGATGGGAGTTCCTGCAAAGCAGTTCTGGGCTCTCACCATTCCCTGAGAGCTGCGGGCTGTAAAATTCACTGCCAGCGTCTGAATGTGACATGGCTGTAATCACTTAACCTCTGTATGTTGGTGTCTCCTCATCGGTTAAATGAAAATGATGACTCCTCTAGTCAGGACAAGCTAGGTGCTGCTGTAATAACAAACAACCCCCAAATCTCAGTGGTTTTCAACAGCACAGTTCACTTCTCACTCATATGTTGTGTCCGTCATGGGTCAGTGAGGAGTCTGGCTGTGGTAGTCAACTTTCCATTTTTTTCAACAAATACCTGAGATCATCAACTTGTAAAGTGTGACATTTTTACTGTGGCTCACAGTTTGACAAGAGTCAGTCCAAAGTCAGCTCTGGGGCCCATCCTGACAGGCAGGGCAGAGAGAGAAAGCTCCTCCGTCTTGAGGCTGGGATGTGCAAAGGAGAGGAAGAGGAGGGGCCGGGGTCCCAGTGACTAGGCCCCACCTGCCACCAGGCCCCGCCTCTTAAAGCCTCCACCACCTCTGGATAGCACCAAGCAGGGGACCACACCCTTAACACAGGGGCCTTGGGGGACACTCCAGATGTAAACTGTAGCCCTCTGCTTGTCACGTTTGGAGCATCAAAAGGCTCAAATGTTGATAGTTGATGAAACTGAAGGGGAGAAAGAATGGCAGATCTTGGACCAACCATGGGATGATCTGGCCTGTAAATGACACAGGTCCCTTCTGTACGTAACCCAGGGCTGGAAGTAGTCTCCCAGCTCATCCAACCACAAGGGGCCAGAAGCACAGGAAGTATCTGGTGAGTGACATTAAGGCCTACCACAATTATCATAGAAACACCTCTAGGGATGCTGAGGTAATTAAATGAATTATATTCCTAATAAGTCCTATGTAAGTATAGGCTATTAGAATCATAATTAGGATGGTAGGTCATCATCTGAGTAAAAATAGAATAAGTTCATCATTAGTAAGTATATTAAAGTAAGACCCAATTAAACTATGAGCAAAAGAATAATTACTGTTTTAAATTGATATTAAAATTATATTAGAAAATATGATGTATTGTCAAAAAAGGACCAAATCCTGGCTTGGCCACTCATTTGCTGTGTGATCTTAGGAAAGATGCTACCTATCTCTGAGCCTTCATTTATACAATAGAGTCTTACACTCAATATCCAGGAATGAGCTCAGGGAATAAGTAGGGCATGAATGATGGGAGTCGGCGCTGGCTTACCCCCATTAGCTGGGGTGGGGGGCATGCACCTCTTGGTCCCAGGCTTAGGAAAATCCTTGACATTGGAGCTGTTTGCAGAGGGCTTATGAATCTCAATCCCTAAATTATAGGTGACAGTGGCTTCTTAAAGAGGAAATGAATTGTTGCAACACAATCCAGCCATGTTGTATCGATATGATTAGCTAGTTATCCATGGAGTGCAGTAATTTGCTTTGATTTTTAAGTATCCGTTAGCAGCCAAGTCCTAATGAGGCAGCTCTAAATTGATTAGATATTCCAAGATACAGCACGGTTCACAGATTGTTTCAGAAAACTGTCAAGATCCGGAGACTGGCATTTCATTGGATTTAATGATTGCTGGGGAAGGTGTGCATCCCGGCCAGATACAATCAAATTTGTCAGCATGATCCTCTTAAGCACAATTCAATTAAAGTGTTATTCTCTAATTTTATTAGAACCGGAGCCCAGAGCTAATGCAAGCTCCCGATATTGCATCAGGAGGGGAGTGCACACGATTTAATTTCCCTAATTGGAGTTTAGTGATCTAACATGCTTTTCATATCTTAATTCTTGGGATAATCTCCGGTTTTTGCACCTGCTACAATTCTTCTAATGGAACCGAGCCGTCGGAAGCCCTGGTGACTCCTCCGGGGGGCGGAATCCTCGGGTCACATCTGCCTCCTGGAAGGGAATTGGCACCTCTGGATCCCTGGCTTCTACCTGATTCTTTCCCACTGATCCTGGCCTTGGCCTCCTCTGAGAAGCAGGCTCCCTTGCTCTGATATAATCTGCTTTTCCCACCAGCTGGAAGTCCTGCCGTCGGGGGGATGGGAAGAGCAGGGACCTTCCACTCAGCCCAGATGTGCGTCTGGGCTCCACCAGGCACCCCTCCTTTTGACCAGTATCTAGTGGGTGTGTCCTTGAGTGCTCGCTGGGGGCTGGGCACTGTGTCGGGCATTGGGGGTACACCGTGAACAAATCAGAGACAGCTCCCACGGCGTCCAGGGAGGAGCCTGTTGGGGCTGGAGAGGGTCATACAATAGTAACCACACCCACAGCCAAACAGATGTGAGAAATGAGGTGAGGGAAAGACCTCCTCTGCCCGGATGGGGGGGGCCTCTCTGGGACATGACCTTTCCACCCAGAACCTATGGAGTTCCCATGGTCTGCATGTCTGGAAAGAGGACCCCCACAGGTATCTGAAGCCCCTAGACGTGGTGCTCCCTGTGGCTGTAATGTCCTGTCCCCCTCCCTGAACTAGTCTCCTTCTTCAAGTCTCAGGCAAAGCCTCAGGGTGAAAAGAAGGTGGGAACAGAATATTTGTGGCTAATGAGTGGACCTCTTGCTAAATGAAGCAGAAACTGTCCAGGTGTTAGGTTAGCGGGGTGGGCGGGGCGGTTCCCACAGTCTCACAGGTAGAGCATTGGGTCTCTCAGTTTGCACCTACCTGTCTTCCGAGTGTGACCCCAGGTGACCTCCTGGGCACCTTTATGAGTAGCACCACGTTCAGTCTCCAAAGCTCCCCAGGATGGGTGATGAATCATATGGGGTCAAGTAGGGAGGACTTTTGATTACCGTCGTGTCAAAATTGCCGACCGCGCGGTGCTCGGGTGGGGTCTAGCTGTGACTCTCAGGGTCCGCTTCACCTCACAGTTTGGTTGCTCCGGGTGGATGGCTGCCGGGTTGGTTGCTGACACTGTTTGCTAAGAGCTGAGTCTTCTAACTGCTCTCGGATTGAGGCCGATGTGACCCAAGGAATCCACCTCAGGAGGAACCACTGCATGTGATGATGGAGAATCGCTGTCACAGGGAGATGAGGAAGAACGTTGAGTTGGTTCCTTCAATTTGTTCTAGTCTCTATAGACATTGAGCACTGTACCCCAGACGGCTGTCACCATCCCAGCACTGTCCCCCCAGACGGCTGCCCCCATCCCAGCACTGTCCCCCCAGACAGCTGCCACCATCCCAGCACCACCTCAGCACTTAGTGCTTTGACTCTGGGGAGAAGGTGCTGGGATGGAACCCGGGGCCTGCTACGTGCTAAGCACTTAGGGAGCCGCTGGGCCACCCTCAGCCCTATATTGGGAACTTTATCCCATGAGCAGCAGGAATCCACAGACCCGCGAACACAGCGCTCACTGCCGTATCTCTAGCACCTAGGACAGGGCCTGGTTCATGCACAGTTTGGCGTTTCTATTCATCTTAAAGATCGTTCAGGCTTCTCGGTGGAAATGGATTAGAGGGCGGCGGCTGTGGAGGCCCGGAGGCCAGTCAGGAGGCCTTTGACTTTTTCTGGCTGAGAGATGGTGGTGGCTTTGACCTGAGGGAGCCGAGAAGAGATGGGGAGAGAGTGGAATCCAGACATGCATTAGCCGTGTGACCTTGGACCATGCACTTAACGGTACCATCCACAGTTTCCTCATCTACAAAATGAAAAAAAAAAAGAAAATCTATTTCAAAGACAAGTCAGGAGGTCATCTTGTACCCGGCTGGGGACATAGTGTGCACTGAGGTGTGCTTGTGGATGGATGGCCGCCAGGTGTGTGGCTGACTGTCTTCCAAGCAATGGGAACCATTATCTATTCTTGGCCATTTTCTTCCAGTTGGGTGCCCAAGCTATGGGCTTAGCTACAGGAACTAAGAAGGGTGCCCTGGGTCACCCCAAGCCCACAGGTGACCCTCTGCCCAAACATGAGAGGGCTGAGCAACTTCCCCTGGCTCACGGCAGACTCAGTCCTACCTCCAGGGGGGTCGGAGCTGGGCCTCGGGGTGGCAGAGGAAAAGGGCCACAGACAGCATTGGGTCCAGGTACTTCTGAATCACTAGGGCGTCCGAGGCCACATGTAAGTTGGGGACAGAGACAGTTTTTTGGGTCAGTGGCCCTGTCTATCACAGAGCACTGAGCTGAGAAAACAGCAGCCCCCAAGTTCTCTACCCACCTGCCTCCAGGGAGCCCAGCTCTTGCTGGAGTTCAGGCCGGGCGCGGTGGTGCACACCTGTAATCCCAGCAGCCCAGGAGGCTGAGGCAGGCGGATCACTGTTAAGGTCTGTAAACAAGTCAAAATAACACCTGGTATTTTGCCAGGGGAATGTTAGAGTTCGTAAACAAGTCTGGATGGTGCCTGGCAAAATGCCGGAGGGAGTGGTTTGAGAAGTAACAAAAGCAAGCCATTAAGTGTGGAGATTCCTTATTGGTTGACTGATGTATCTAGTTTATGCTAATTAAGATAAGCTGTGCAAAATGTATAAATAGCTCTGTTGTCCTAAAATAAACGGCTCCTACTCCTGCTGTATCAATCTACAAGAGTTGTTCCTCACCCCCCCACCCCGGGTTATTCTGCTGCAGCCAGACTGCGGCAGATCACCAGTTCAAAGCCAGCCTCAGCAAGTTAGTGAGGCGCTAAGCCACTCAGTGAGACCCTGTCTCTAATAAAATACAAAATAGGGCTGGGGATGGGGCTCAGGGGTCAAGTGCCCCTGGGTTCAATCCTCGGTGTCCCCCCACCCCCAAAAAAAGAAATAGCTCAGCTGCACTGGGCTCTGGATGCCCAGCTCTTGGGTGCATTATCTCATTTAATTCTCTCAATGGCAGTAGGAGGGCACTGTGGTTGTGTCCTTTTCACAGATGGAAAAACTGGGGCTCAGGGACCACAAGGGCAAGGCCATCTGCTAGTCAGCAGCAGTGAAGATTGAAACAGCACGGCTGACCTTCACCTGCATGGTGACTCCACGGGCACCGTCACTCTTCTCCCCGGGAACCCCTGAAGCACAGGCAGAGGGCTCAGGCAGAGTGGGGTGTCCAGAGCCCTGTGGGGCCTGCAGGGCAGCGGCTGGGAGCCTCCCCGAGGCCAACACTGCCCCACTCCTGGGACCCAACCTGGCTCCCCAGCTGCCCGGCCGTCCTTGGGACACAACCTCCACCCGTGGCCACTCCTTTCTGGTCAGAAATGGACCTGAGAGCCAACGGGCAGGTGGCCGGCCACACATCTGGTGACAAAGGTGCGGTCCGTGCTGCCACAAGCCACACTGGACCCATCATGTAAACTGCCCAGGCATACGGCAGGCACATAAGTGACTCGGGCTGTTGACACAAGACCCAGAATCCAAGCAAGGGGACCTTCTACAAGTTCAAGTGTTCAGGGAGCAAAAGCTCTGAGAAAGCAGCAGGTGTGACAGCAGAGAGACAGGGGACTCCCGGTGGGTCCCCAAGGGTGGAGAGCCAGTGTAGACGGTAACACACACCTTAGGGCGGGAGCCAGCCCTCCAGAGGCAGCCCGTCTGCCGCTCTGTGCTGCCCACGTACCCTCCCTGACATCAGATCCCCAAGTGACACTCTCTTGCCCCCAACACAACCCAGACAGGCAGACAGCTCCCGGCTTCCTGGTGTTTCTCCTAAGCCGGGGCCTCGCTGGTTATCTGAGCTTTGGGGTAACATGGGAAGTGGACAAGGAGGTACCCCCACTTCACAGATGGGAACACTGAGGCCAGAAGACCTGAGAGGCCTCTTCAGGGGCCACACCAGATCCCAAGGACCAGCTCTAGGAGTCTCAGCGCCTGTCGCCTCCTCCAGCTCCCCTGTCACCTCCTCCAGCTCGTCACTGACTCCAGAACTAAGGCTGGCCGGGCTGAGCTTGTCAGGATGATTTGGATTTTGGTTGCAAATGAGGAGCTTCTGCCCTGGGCCACCCAGCGGGAAGAGAGGAGAGAGAAGAGAAGAAGTCTTCAGAGACAGAGGCAGGTGGGGAAACACTTTTCAGGCATGATCTGTGATACTCCCATGACAGTAATAAGGAACACGTGCCCCATGTCACTCTGCACCAGACGCTGTCCGGAGCACTCTACTCAAACGAGCAGATTTCGCTCTGCCAATAACCCTATGATGTGGCGGTGGCGGTATCACAGGTAGATGAGATTAAGCAACTTGGTCAAGGTCACACATCTAGTAAGTGGAAGAGCTGGAACTTGAACTCACAGGCCTGGCTTTGGAGTCTGCTCTTAACAGACATCTGCTCATATCATCTTCACACTCCCTACGCAGGACACTCCAGGGACCTGCCTGTACAGATAATAAAACTGAGACTCGGGGAGGAACGGTGAGGTGCCCAGGGTGGACGCCTTGTTTCCAGCAAGCTAACAGGCTTGTCTGGTGGGGTTCCGTTCCCTGAAGGCTTGGCCCCAGGAGTGGCGACATGGGATGGTAGCTTCTGACCATCTCATCTGGCATTAAATGTGTGGTTGCAGTCAGTCCCGAGTGATGTGTAAGGATCAGCGCACGGAACCCTTACAGGAACCCCGGGAAACAGGTGTGACTGACCCTGTGATACAGATGAGGAAACCGAGGCCCAGAGAGATTGGGAGGTCTGGGAGATCGCACAGCTGGCCAAGTGGCAGAGGCTGGCTCCAGAGCCCTCGGGGTTTGCTGCCTGCTCTTCCAGACGAGGGCTTTCTGCAGGCCTGAGGGGCACTGAATACTGCAAAACAGCATCTGGCCATGGGGGAGGGTCCTGGAGAAGCATCCACCTCTCCTCCAAAAGGCCCACGGAGAATAGGGAGTATAGCCCAGTGCCCCGACGCAGCCCTGACCAGGGGTGGGGAAATGCCCTCAGCTGGGACACTGAGGCCTGGGATGAGATGTGCCCCGGGGGGCTGGGTGCGCAGATGGCAGCCTGTGGAATCAGGTAGAATCTCACTAATAGAAACCCCAGGGCGCAGAGGGGGCTGCTGATTGAGAAGGCGGGCACCTTGCTCTGCGCAGGGGTGATCCCGCTGTCAGAAGCCATTAGGGGTCAGCTTTGCCTGCCAGCCAGGCTGGGGGCCCATCTCCGGGAGCGGGAGGAAGAGGGGAGGGGGCGGCTCCTACAGCAAGAGCAGAGAGTGGAGAGGAGGGGCGCAGAGGCGGGAGGGGGAGGGGCGGAGCGCCTGGGCCAGGAGGGGGAGAGACACATTGAAGCAATTGCAGGAGAATCAGCAGAAGGAGGGGGAAGAATTTTGAGCAAACACTTCTTCCTCCTGCCCCATCCCTGTTTGCCTCCCTGATCCGAGTGGGTGATGAAGTGATCCTATAAATAACAAATAGCATGAGTCTGGCTTACCAAAAAAAAAAAAAAAAAAAAAAGATTTAGGGAAATAATTAAAGAACTGTCTTTTTGAGCACTGGCCAAATAAAATGAGTCTGGCCCTGTTTTCTCCCTGGATGGGTGGCGCACCATGTTGCTCAGGGCTACTGTTCCCTTGCCCACCCCCTGCATCCTCAGGTCTGACCACCTGGGCAGATACCTGCTCAAGACAGTGAAACATGACCTGTGGCCCAGGACGGGCATCAGAGAAATAAAAGCAGGCTTCCAGCTCTGCTCCTCAAATGGGAGCCAGACCCCAGCAACTGGGATGATGGGGCCCCCAGGACTGTCTCCAGCTAAGTCTGCAGTCCTTCTGCCCATTTTTAGGGCAGGGGTCTCTGCTCTCCTCCTGGACTCAGGAAAGAATGGGGCCACCATGCCTGGTTCCAACCCCAGGCAGCAGCAGGGGTGGTGGCCTGGGGAGAGGAATGTGGCTTCTGATGATACATAGGTTCCACTGGAATCAAGCAGAGAGGTGGCCTTGTGCCCCCAAGAGAAAGCAACTCTCCCCCTGGGGCTCTGAATCCCGCATCAGAGCTCGTGGCTAGGGAGAAACAGCCTAGGAGGATTCTTTGTGGATCTGAACTCGTGGCCCCTCTGCCCACTCGGTGACGGGTGGAGCATCATGGGTGTGGAGCTCCTGCCCGAGTGGGTCTCCTCTCTCCTGGCTCCCTTTCTCTCCTCCTCTCTCCCTCCACCAAACCTTTGTTGAGCACCTACTCTGCTATTTGAAGTTCTGGAAATGCAGCAGGGTCCCTGCCCTCTTGTAACTCACATTCTAGGGAGAATCTGTAGAACCAAACCCACAAGCAAGACGATAAATAGTGCTGAGTGCCTCGAAGGGAAAATGTCCAAAGGTCATGGGGTGGGACAGGGTTGGATGGAGGGACCGGGAGGATCCTCAGCTGACTGTTAGGTGGGTACCGCTGGGGGTGAGGCTGACCCTGGATGTGTGTTGGGGGCGGAGCTAGCGCGACAGGCCAAGGAATCCGAGAAAGAAGGGTGCCATCCCCGGATGACCCCACGGGGTCCTGGACATGGTCATAGCTAGGCACCAGGGGTGGGACCGGTGGGACCCCGTCCCTGGCTTTAGTGGGGGCTTTCTCTCGGGAAGGGAAGAAGCGAGGGAACACTGCATCCTGCTTCCGGAGCCTGCTGGTGGCCTGCAGGGGGAGAGGCGCTCCTCACGGAGCATTTATCCTCGTCACCCTCCGGAGTCTCAGCCAAGGGTTATTACCCCCTTTTTGCACAAGGGAAAAAAAAATATGCCTCCATTTCCATTGATCCATCCTGAATCGATGCTTTTAAAAAATCTCACGCGCATTTGGCTTAAGAGCCGGGCAGCCGCTCACGTCTCGCCCGGTGTCATCGATCGCGCCTGCGCCTGCGCGCCCCACCTGCAGGAGCCCCCGCCCACCCCCAGCAGCTGGCCGGGTCGCCCCGCGTCCTTAATGGCCTCGCCCCCGCCCGCACCCTCCGCGCCTCCCCTGGCCCTCAGCACGAGGTCCTTCCTCGGGTTTTTTGAAAGGATCGATAAGGTGCCGAGGCCTCCCGCTGCCGCCTGTCACTCACTCTCCGCCAGCCCATAAATTATGCATCCGCCTCTCTTCCCGGCTCCAATTTCCACGGCGTTTGTTGATGGCTCTGCGATGGTTGGCTTTGCTCAGCCTCCGAGGCAGGGGTGCTGTTGAACTTGGGGAGGCAGCAGCAGGCTTAGGACGAGGGGGGCGCATTACAAGGTGGGGAGGGAGGTGGGGAGACCGCAGCTGCTGGTTAAGGGAGCCCAGAGGGAGGCCGGCTGTGGGGCTGCCCGTGGTCCTGGGACCTTCCTGATGGGCCAGGAACCCAGCCTGGGGACCAGGGACACGTGTCTTGAAGGGAGCCTATAGGCCCTCTCC